CTGTACCACGGACTAATAGTTAAAATTAGTAGCTGTATAAGCATTACAATTTAAAAAATAATCTGTGCTTAAGGATTTAGCTTAGATAACATACATTAACAGGTTTGGATCAATGAAACAGAATAAAGTTAACATTTTTTGGGACTACTGCAGCACTTACTAGACAAAAGATCTAAGCTTTCAATCAATTATAAACGACTCATATATATGACAATAATAAGACCTATTTGGACTTACGGAATTGAGCTTTGGGGCTCCACTAAACCATCGAATTCCTCTCGTATCCAATCCTTCCAATCCAAAATCCTTAATGCTAAAATCCTCGATGCTCCTTACTTTGTCACAAATAAAATCATCCATAAAGACCTTAATGTTCCATATGTTTCCGATATGGCCCAATCCAGATACCTGTCCTTCCATAACAAACTGCAGAACCATCCGAATCCTCTCGTTTCAAACCTTGCTTCCTCCTCGATCCCTGATAACCCTCCGAGGCGTCTGAAAAGAAGATGGACTCGGGATCTTCTAATATAGAATTTTAATTTGAGATCTACTAATGGGTAGTTTCTCTTCATGTTGTACATGTCATGTTAGCAATTTCACATTTACTTATTGTATTTTCTATGTAATACAGTTGTAAATTCCATTAAAATAATAAAAAAAAAAAATACATTTTTTGGAGGCGGGGAGGGGGCGGCTCAGCTCGAAAGCCCCCATTCCTGTAGATCTACCAGCTATTCTCACACAAGAAATATTCACACATATATAAAGCCCCCTCTAGAAAAATAAAGCATTCAACACAATCTTCCCTGCTATTTATGGTTCATTTAATATTACCAATGATGTATAATCTCATGTAATTGTTAAAGTATCTTACAAAAGCCTTTTAATATTGAGTTTATTTAATTTGCATTTAATATTCAATCACTTAATCGAAGAGTGCCCAGAACGGTGATTTTTCAGAGGAGAGCACATTTTCGTGTAGTATTCAAATATTCAGGATGGGCACCCATGACATGATCTATAATATTTTAATATCTGTCTAAAAGTATCACTACTAAATTAACATAAATATTTTACATACATAATTATTACACATACACATATATATTTTTTTTTTTTTGGCGCTACAGACCTTGTAGATCTTTGACCGCGAGATGTGGTCTTCTAGATCACATCCCGACTCCTGATTTAAGTACACTGGGATAGGGTCATCAGTCCTACGCCCGGTCGGTGTGAGTTGCCTCCAGTAGTCTGACGGGCCTCACATACCAGAGGGGATCTCAGGCAGCGCGGCTTTCAGGGTCACCCAAATCGGTGAATATATATATAATTTTTATTTTCATTTTTTCATATTCCTTCGTGAAGGTATTTCTGTCATTATAAAAAAAAATTAATATTAATAAAATATAAACAAGGCGTAGACTAACTGTTAGGATATAATTTGAAGATTCTAAATATAAACCAATGAGTCTCTAAAATACCGTTAAACAATTGACGCCTTGTTATTTTACCTCCCTTTTTCTTCAGTATGTGTCAGGATGTTTTGAATTTGGTCTACATATATATGTATTTACAACTTTTCCTTAATCGACCTTTGAGTATTAAATTTAAACTTAACTATTTAATTGGGAATAAGGTCACTTAATTATTATTTAATAAACTATTTAATGTTCATTTCTTCTGTTTATTGACGTTTCGATCCCGGTATTTTCTTTTTATTAGTCAACGATGGGATTCTCTTCAAAGCTAGAATTTAAAAAAAAAGAGGTTCGATCAGGCCAGGGACACACCGACAGTCTCAGCACCGTCCACTAGCACATATAATAAGCTACTGTAGCTTCTCTACTGTTACTGTAGATAATTCCATGATTTCATATAACAGTGATGATGTCTCCATCATTATTAGATTTTATTTAATGCTTTATATATATTATTAATTTTTATAATTTAATTCCTACATCCTTATTCTTTACAATAGCATTCTAGTTTGGTTATAGATTGAAAAGGAAACAGTCCTATCGTCCGTTTCAATTCATTAGCAGCTGTTTCTTCTGCGTTCTGATGCGCCGTGTTTTTTTTTCAACTACTTCCTCTTTTTTTTATAGTAGTATGATTAGTTTATAGAACTCTTCTGCTTTTAACAAAATGTAAGTTCTATTTTAAACACGAATTGCACATTTATAAACAAACTATTGGTTTCTTTTAAACAGTTAAACTTCTACCGTCTAAATTTTCTTAACATATGTTTAAATCTATGTGTTTTTTTTTAATGTTAGATTTATGGAGTTTAATCATGAGTTGAATAAAAAAATACAATTGCTGAGTTTTGTAAAAGAGTTGATTGAGTTGGCTTGCCAACAAAAAACACCTTCGATAAATAATATAAATTCCTCCTCTCTCGATCATAGGGGCTTCAAGTCGACGAAATGAGACATGTATTCAATGGCAGAACTACAATTAACGTTAGGTTGTGTGGATACAAACACTTTGCCTTGCGTTACTTCGAAAATAGTATCTTTTGGGGCTTAAAAACGCAGGGTCCGATAGTTCCGAAGGACTATCGGTGTACGCATCGAAATCTTCAAAGCCCAATTTGTCCCGTATCGATCTACAGACTTACCACCGTTCCAGTATTGAAGCCTAGCAAAATGTTTGTATCGACTTTATTTATTTTAGAAAGAAAAATACGAGAAGAGAATACGATTCGCTAACTCCCGTGAAATTTTGAATCCAACGGTACCCCATTCATGGTATTTGAGCATGACAGGAGCTTGTATTTGGTACAAAACCGATTTCGAGCCTTTCTATATGTGGGGATTATTTTGCTTTTATTGTATGCATCTGACCTACTAAAAGGCTTGAGTTCGCATTCAATATCCTAAAAAACACAGCAAATTTGAGCAATATACCGCAAGTTCCGAGGAAGTTAGAGCCGATGTCAAAGAAACCTTACTTGCTTAAGGGTATCGCTGCGGATTATCGCAGCTGTGTGTGACTGTTATAATGCAATATATGGCAAAACAAGCATATCGCCATATTTTCAATTATAATTTCAAATTCACACTCTGAAACCAGACTTGTCGATAGCTGGGATATTATATATTAAATCAGATTTTTAAACTGAGGTACGAAGGGATGAAATTGATTTGAATAATGTCATACATGTCTCTGTTATTTTTAAAATCCCCGCCCACACTCCCTGGTCCGGGAAAACCCCCGTATAGCCTTAAAGGCGAGGAAGGGGAGAACAGAAAAAAAAAAAAAAAAAAAATAGGTCTGTTATTATCGAACATTAATCTGATGTACTACAATAAATATATTAGAATTAATATACTTCCCTAACACGCCTGCTTTTAACACTTCATCTATATATCGATGGAGTCTATATCAATACTAAGCATTAAGATTTGTCGTTGGATCTTGGACATTAAATGCCTTAATCAATTGAATAATATATTTTACTTTGTCATTCGTGTTTTTGTCTATGTTAATAATATAAACCCTTTGTATTAAGCAATAATACTGTAATCTAATATAATGTAATATAACCAAGATTTATTTTAGTAGAATTTAACTGTTTATTTAACCTATTGTTAAATGTAAACAACATTAAATGTTAATATTAAATATTAACCTATTATTAGAAAAGTATACCATTACTGTTCTATTAATATTACTTGTACATTAATATAATGTCTAATCGTTTACATTATTAAATATGTGCATGGTTTTAACATTGATAACCTATACTAACACCAATCGGATCATGGCTACATTGTATATTTAAGCCAGTAAATTTCCATTTTTTTTTCTTATAGGTTGTTATCTTGTTTTTACACAGCCCTGATGAAGGCCTAAAACTATGGCCAAAATAAAATAAGACTTTTACAATAAAGTTAAGAGCAAGGCCCGACTTAGCATATCTATTTGCAAGGATGCAATTGCACATATAGTTTGCATTTTTTTAAACTGCTACTCAATTATCTATACGAATCAGTGGAATTAGATGGAATCAATAGAATTTTAAATTGCATATTTGATGATGGATGCAAATAATTTCATTCAAGTTGAAAAAAATAAAAATGCAAATTATATTGAAGAGAATATTTCAGATTGCAATCGTAGGTTCACATTCAATCCACTTGTAATAAATTAAAAAACACTACCTTCAGTTATTTAATTATTTGGATATGGATTTTTATTATACTCCGGCTTTTCATCTTTTATTCTTATCCCTTATAAACGTTTTATCATTACACTCAGTTTCAGGTGTTTATTTTCTTTTAAGAGAAATATTTATAATTATTTTCAGTGCTAAAAAATAAATGCATCGGCTTATTACATTTTTTTTATTATTTATTTACGATATTTACAACTGTATAAAGAATAAAAATACACTAAGTAAATGTGATAACAGAAAATAATAACATGAAAAGTCTTGTTGAGAAACGACCGACTGGTAGCACTCTAAAAAAAATGTATTTACAGTAGGGGATCCATCGAGGCCATCTTCTTGATTTGTCAGCACATTTTCGAGGCTTCTAAATGTGCACCCCTCAAAAATTTAAAAGCCCACCAAAATATGGTCCCCACTAAACGTTTGATGACGCCATCAAACCACCTCCTGGGCACCTCTCCATGAAAGTTTAATGCTTATTTAATGTTTTTTTTACTGCATATTTTACGTTTTTTTTTTACTGCATGTTATATGTGTTTTTACTGCATAAACATCCAGGCTCTTGATATGTCCAATTGTTTGCATTAGCCGATTTCGTATAATACCACGTGACTCCTGGTTTTCCGGTATTATTATTATTTTGCTTTAATAAATTAATAATTATAATGAATTTTTGTAGTTATTGTTTATATATATATATATATATATATATATATATATATATATATATACATACATACATATTAAGAATGGCGACCTCCAGGAGATCAGCGTGCCCGCGCACTCTGCCCCCACCCGCACTACCTTAGCCGCAGTCAGTTGAAGACTCCGTCCCGGTTCTCCTTACTCAACATGACTTCCGAGAACTCTTCGCAACTGGAGGATCGTCTCTTTCTCGTAAGTCTTCAAAAGTAGCTTAGAATTATTTTTTTTTATATGACAGGCATACAGCTTTAATTTATATATCGTATAAACATATTATAACATAAATATATATATATATATATATATATATATATATATATACAAGGAGGAATATAATATTCAAATTTCGAATTGGAATATCACATAGTTTATTGATTCAAAATTTATTCAATTTATCGATCTCGCAAGTCTAATCATTATTATTAATTTTTTATTAAATAAATAAAAATGTCCGAAAAACTGTTTTGTTTTTTTTCTGGGGCAAGTTAACCTAAACAATGGTAATATCATTGATACGTTTCAATTCAATGGCATATTTTTAGTTTATTTATGTGTAAAGAAAAAATACATATATTCTGTAGCATAGGAATTCGCCATAATCAATATTACAACGCTTTCTAGTACTTTATACAAATCAATTATTGTTTTTTAATCAAATAAATTTATGTATGTTTTTTTTTTTTTATTTAATTGATATCAATGCGTAATTGTTTTGATTTTTCGACTGATACGCATCGAGGATCATCTTCGAAATGAACCGGATGTTGCAAGATCTTAAACAGGATGTTGAGGATCGTGTCTCAAATATTTGGTCTCAGTTTTTTTTTTTTTTTTATCTCTTGAGTGTTCAACACACTTCGAAATAAAATACAGTTGGACGCATTCGATAAAAATAAAAATAGTTTCATCTGATTCAATTAGAAGGATTGGATCGAGTGAGGAATCAGGTGTGACATTTGATATTTACAGACTTATTTTTATTTTATTTTTTGGATTTTTTTTTTTTTTTTTTTTTAGAGTTTATATGGGATGATGTCGAAAGTTGGTTATGCGGCAGGTGGGGTTGCTACTCAGTGCTCTGTTATTGTGTTAAGGTTAACATGGAGTGGTATACGTGCCGCAGTCCACGCAGCACACCCAGCTCCCGGCACAACGGCCGAGTTGCCTGCTGCCTCGCACCAGGACAACCGGCAATAAAACACACTCTTTATGATATGCTCAGCGTTTCTTCACATTCTCTCTCCCCTTCGCAACAATTTATAACAAATGCTATTTATAACTGAGCTGAGTAAGTAATCTTATTATTTATTTATATTTGTGTGGATATTTTGTGCTGTATTTGCTAAATTCATCATGATACATTGATAAAACTTGAGAAATGTTTTTTTTAAATTTGTTACTTACTCGATGATCAGTGCTGCCGACATAGGCCTGAAAGAGGAAGGAGTTCCGTTTCGACCTGTTCAGGAAATTAATGCTAGCCAACATCGATATTCAATCGATTTTATTAATAGCATTTTAGGTAACATTGACAAATCTTCATTTCCGACAACATTAAAGACTTTTACGATCCGTCCTACCATTATTTCAATATTGCAGAGTTCCCTTATTTGCCGTTGAAAAGTAATATTTGCGAATTCGATCAAAAGTAAACTATGGCTTAAGGGGCCCTTACGCGGTCAATATTATTGAATCAAAATCGAATATATTGACCATCTGAGAGATATATTTTGAAAATTTTATATTGACGTTTTTAATATGTATAACAACAATATGTATAGCCAACATCGATATTTAATCGATTTTATTTATAGCATTTTAGGCAACATTGACAAATCTTCATTTCCCACAACATTAAAGACTTTTACGATCCGTCCTCCCATTATTTCTATATTGCCGGGTTCTCTTATTTGCTGTTGAAAAGTAATATTTGCGAATTCGATCAAAACTAAACTATGGCTTGAGGGGCCCTTACGTGGTCAATATTATTGAATCAAAATCGAATATATTGGCCATCTGAGAGATATATTTTGAAAATTTTTTATTGACGTTTTTAATATGTATACCGCGTTCAATAATGTCGGTTTAATATTATTGATTCAGTAATATTGACCGTGTAAGGTGGGCTCAAGATAATAGTAATAATTATTATTAGAAAAAATACGTTCACTTGTTATGAAATTGTGACAGTTAAATGGAATCGTCGGATAAATGCGCTTGAAATAAATAAACCATTGATAACTATCTTCCTTTTTTATTTTATTTTTATTTAAGTAACTTGATGTTATTGTACGGATCACAAACATGTTTTGAGCATTATTATAACATTTTACATAATTTATTGTAAATAATAAACAAATGATTTTACCGTCCGTCCCACAATTGTTATTAATATTATTTAAAATCACTTGCCTTGCTACGTTTCGGCCATTAGGCATTTTCAGCCATCTCTGCTTATTTATTTTTATCTTTAACTCGCATTCATAAGATAGTTTGTAATATTTGTTTCTATGTTCATTTAAAACATGGTTATATTTTACCATTTCGGGGAGTGGGGGGGGACTTCAGTCCGAAAGCCTTCCCTTCCTCCGTATTGTGAAAGTTACATAATATTTAGATAAAAATTATGAAAAGAGTGAATAAGCTTATGGAAATATTAAACAGTAAGTGCATTGAGATATTAAGAAAATTAAACTATATACAGAGTAAACTAACTAACTAGATCCTAAACTGAAGTAAATAAACAATTAAACAATCTTGTTATTTAGTTTACTCTGTTTATATAGTTTAATTTTCTTAATATCTCAATGTACTCACGGTTTAATATTTCTATAAGTTTATTCACTCTGTTTATAATTTTTATCTAAATATTATTTTAGTCTATTTATGACCGCGACCCCGGACGATCTCCTTCGTCTAAAATACAACGGCCAACTAATAAGTATTCAAAACGAAACTAAATTACCTATTTAAGATAAATGCCAGAGTGTTACTAAAAATTTCCACTAAAACCGACTTTATATCGCTGAATTTTACTACTTACAACAGATAAACTTCAATGTCAGGTAGATATTATTATCATCGATTTAATGCTGAATTTTCGAAATAGATTCCTCTAAAGTAATTTTATTTTTGTTTATTTGAAATAATTAACCGTTTCTCGTTGTTAATTAAAATAAAAAATGCATAAGCCTAAAAGGAAAGAATTTAATAATTAATTAAAATACTAAATATTTACCCAGGTTGTAAACGAATTTCCGGCAATAAAAGTAATAGGGTAAAAACATGAGTAGCTGACAATGTACCAATACCCAACATCGTCCTCAAAAATGGAAATAATGAGATTTCAGGACTACCTAGACCTGTATTTCGTAAATCTTATTATTTATTTTCTCTTTGTATATTTTTATGTTTTACTTTATTCTATCCGGCAACCGTAACCGAAATAATGAGTGGTAAATTAGGCGGGTCCCTCACGGTCCACTTAGTGTCCCAGGATCAACCATTTATCAGTAAGGGTACCATATCTTAGCTTCGCTTTTTCCTAAGTACTTTGTTAAATAGAAAAAAAAATATGATAACTAATTTATCACAAAATTTTGTTATATTTTTTCTTGGAGGTGTTTTAAGATAATTTTGTATCTGTTTATAAATAATCTTGATAAATGAATTGGAAGTTTAATGGGCGTCAACCGCTGAACTCGTATGATGAGGCTTTTTTCCAGTAGATGACAGGCCTATACTCTCATAAATTCAAACAGAAACATTTAATACTAGCTGACCCAGCCACGCGTTGCTGTGGCCCATTCTGGTTAAATAAAAATAAAAAAAAGTATAAAAGAAATTGGATGTTTCTAATATATTTTATGTAACAATACTTGTAAATATGCGATATTCTTTGCTGTTCCATTTTTGCTATAGGTATAGAGATTGTCTGGTTTTTCAATTTTAAAATTTGTAACATATCATCGTCTATATAAGAAGTAATCAGTCTCCAAATCTCCCACGAAACATTACTAAATGTCACTAGCGGATCCAGGATTTAATTTTGGGGGGGGGGCCTCAGCCCGAAACCTTTTTTTTTCATAAAAATAACGATAATTACTTTGGAAAAACAGAAAGAAACTAACTACCTATATGAAATGGTGTTTAAGTTATTCCTTAAGTACTTTTAAACGTAATAACACGAACAATAATACTTTAAGAGGTATTTTTTAATTTTTTTTTCCCATAAAACATGGTTATATTTTTCCATTTTGGGGGGAGCTTCAGCCCGAAAGCCCCCCCCCCGTAGATCCGCCCGTGCTAAATGTTTAAAGCATTATATCTCTGCGCCAAATCATCTGATTTTAATGATTTTTTTTTTTGATCTGCAAGGAATCAATCAAATAATGATGGATATAATCGAACAAAAATTGCTCCCTTTTTTAATTATTCGCAAATATAGTTTTGAACCCGTCGTAACTCTTTTTTCATACTTTTTTCAGGGAAGGATGTTATATACATAAATTAGAAGGGCTTCAAGGAAAGACTTTAGCTAATTTTAATTGAAATCTTTACAGCCGTTTAGGCGCTACAGCCTATAGCGACACAGGTTTTTGGGCTGCCATTCCGAAACGAAAGACCGGAGGTTGGTTAAATGAATATAAAAACACTCCTGAATGCGATAGACACATTATGTCAATATTTCAAAGTGATCGGTGAAGAAGTTTCGGAGATTAGCGGTTTTGAACTAACGGTTACATTTTTATTAATATAGATAACTGGTCTTTAAAATGGGAAAAACAAATCTAGAGATTTAGAGTAAATAGAAAGCAAAAATAGATTTTCCTATGGACTGTTTTTGGCAATAGGAAAATCTTGACGGTGACCAACATTTATCAATAAATTTAAGAATGGAAACGAAATGAAGTTAAATAAAGAAAAAGAATATTTTTGTTAATATTCATTTTAAAATAAATAATATAATGATGGTGACACTTTATTTCTAGCTATCGGAACATTCCAAAACAGTGTCAGCAACGAGTGCAACAAAACTATTCTCTAAATTTACAACTTTTTAAAATTTAGGTGGATGTTTCGTTTATTTCAAATGTGTCTTGGTAAGTTGAGGAGTATTTCTATAAAATGAATTTTTTCAAAAAATACAATAACACCAATATTTAAGTGTTTTCACGAATAAGTAAAAAAACAAAGTGTCTTTAAGCTTGTCAGCCACTAGTTCGTCTACCCTCAACTTGAAATGAAATAATTTGATAATTTATTAAACAAGTGAATATTTTCCGAGGTTGAAAAGAAATTTCCTGAAATAAAAGTAGTGAAATCTTATGAATAGAAACGAAAAAACGCTGCAAATTATTTCACAATGGTTTATTATTTTCAAAAAAGTATACATCTAAAGTAACATTATCTTTCTAGTTACAAAGAAAAGTAAATAAAAGGTGATTCCAATTATTGGACTAAACGTTTTTTTTTTATTCATTAGTAATGTGCTAAAAAAAAAAATTAAATAAATAACATTACTTCAGTACCACATTCAAAAATCAAAAACCAAAACAAAGGATATGACCACTAGAACATATAAAAAGTATCTAGAGACCATATATGGACCATATATATAATTGCTCCTAATTGTCCGATTTTAACAATTATTATTTTTTTTTTTTTTTGTTTTTTAAGAAATTCATTCAATTTTTAAATAATCATATCAATATCCACAAAAAAGTGTATACTTTTTGAGTTATTCGGAACCTAATTTTACCATCCCTCGTAAATTTTTTTCCAGCTTCTTTTCGTTGAAGTATGTTATATAGATAAATTTAAAGGGCATCAAGATGACTTTAGCGAAGTTTCATTGAAATCGGTACATTGGTTTAGGCGCTACAGTTTATAGCAACGCAGGTTTTTTGGCCCCCATCTTGTCAGGAAAAGGCGGAGAGAAATGTCGATGAAGGAGGCTCATCCTCGGGTGACCTCTAATTTTAAATCCAAATTTGAAAAAAAATTCGGTCCAGTAGTTTAGGAGAAAATGCGCGGACGGCGGACAGACAAAAAAATTTGTATTTGTTTTTCGAATCCTGCGTATCCTGAAACGCAAAACCTCAAATTTTAAGAGTGGGTTAAGTTTTTGAATTTTCTATTCGATCACAACGGATTATTATTGAAAATAATAAACCAAAAATAATGACTAATAACTTCTACATTTATATTTTTTAACTGAAACAAAATTAAATTTTCTTAGAACTTAGAAATGGAAAAGTTTAAAATTTATTTTAAGCCTGACAAACCAAATATAC